TCATATCACCAAAGTCACTTCGAAGTGATGTATCACCAGCCTCCTGTTCTGAACTGACATCAGCAGTTCCATTGGCAAAAATTGAAAGAAGCTTCATCACAAATAAGGTTAACATAATTTTTTTTGTGGTTAATATATATCCCCTTTCCTACAAACTTTCCCTACTACATTGTTCTCATCAACAGAACATAAACCAGTAAGCATCCTTAGTGGCACAGAGTAAACATACACCACTCCTTTAGAATGGCAAAACAAATCATAACTCTAAATTTCACTGCAAACCCTAACACCCACGACATCTGATCAATTCTTCTCCTGTCCATTAAACACTTCCTCTAATTTCTGCTCTGAGAATTAGGTGATAAATCAAGCCTTATCTCTCAGTTGATTTTTTCATTTTCCTAGACACCTTTCAGTATGCTAACGTGTTGATATTGTGAGGAGAAATTACCAGTTGGTCACTCCTAGGAATGAAAGGGTTAAATAAGGTTGAGTCTAACATTTGTTCATATGGACCACTTCAATAAATTGTGAACAATATTTTGTCAGAGCTCTGTAAAGTTTACAATTTTTTCAGAAATTCTTTTGCAATTTCTGACACTGCTATATCAACTGGGCATTCCCCTGTCATGTTCTTCAAATCTACTTTTGCACCATTTTGAACAAACCACTTGATATAGTCCTTCCCTTCGTTTTCCTTGAAATCTGATGGAACAATGGCAAGCTTTGGATCAACTGACATAAGAACATGAAGAGGGGTATTCCCTGAATGATCTTGTGAATTTATGTTTCCACCACTTTGTAGTAAAATCTCCAGGACTTTCATATTGGGCACTTTGAAAATTTCTTTTAGGCATACTTTGTTGTGGACCTCAATGACTGAATCCCAGACAGCTAGATGGAACATATCAGAGCCCTGAGAATTCTGCAGTTTAAGGTCCATTATTTTTTTAATCATCTCTTTTTTCTTCTTGGCTTCTTCATCAGAGTGAGCACTGATATTACTCAAGATGCAAATGAAATAAAATACCAAAAGCAGGTTGTGGTCAAAAGCCCATTTCAGCTCTTGCTGTTCAAAATGAGAAAAATGCTGTCTTTCTCTCTCCTGTGTCAGAATTTTGAGCCACACTAAAATGTACTGGTGCACTGGTTCAAGATTGGCAGTCTTCAGCTGTATGCCCTTTTCAATCATGCTTGCAAAGAGGTCAAGAAGTCTTCGCAATATTTCTCTACTTGTATCAGAAGACACAAGTCTAAATGATAATGCATGGCTGTAGAAGTTGGCTGCCATCTGAAGTTCTTCTTTGTGGGATAAAACAATAGCTTTGTTGAAGAGTGGCTGTAGAATTTCTGATGAACGCAAAGCACCAAGAATTCTGTCCCTGATGAGGAAACCCTCTATTTGAATGACCTCATGGTTAGTAGACAATGCCTCCAGTTCTTCAAGGCTCTGACTTTCTACCTGATTATTATATACAGTTAGAGGAGGTGTTAAAACCTGCTTAACAATGTTAGTGGGTGGCTCAAAGCGCTCCTTCTTTGCTCTTAGCAACAGATTATATCCATGCTGGATTGATTCCATGTCATCTGCATACTCTTCTTCACTTTGTCCTTCGCTAGGATACTCAATATCGTCAACATCAATGGAAGTTGCATGAGAGGCACCAAGAAGCTCCAAGGCATTGATCCTCCACTCTCTGCTACAGTCTGGTTGTGAAATTATCCATTCTACAACACTATCATGACATTCACAACATGCAAGTTGAAGAGGTGTAATTCCTTCAGTATCACCTGCTCCTAGCTGCGCTCCATTTTTAATCAGCACCTTAACTGATTCTAAGCAACCTTTTTGTGCAGCTAAGTGCAGAGCAGTGAAGCCAAGAGCATTCTTAGCATTTGGATCTGCACCCTTTTTCAGAAGATAAGCCACAAGGGATGGGTCTTTAAATCCTGACAAGGCAGCTGCAGTTAAGGGAGTGTCGCCAAGGTGACCAGCCTCATTCACATTTGCTCCATTATCCAGAAGAAATTTGACAAGCTCAAGTTGCACCGGCACGTCAGGTTTCCCCAGAAGCACTTGTCGTGCTCTGTTTAAGTGGAAGTACCGACAAGCTACCAGAAGAGGGCTTGAACCGACCTTTGATCTATGATTAATATTCGCTCCATGCTTTGCCAACAGTTTCACAAGTTCAAACTTACACCAAGCAGCAGCACACCATAAAGGGGTGACATCTTCGCCCACTTCGTAGCCAAACCCTCCATCCTTATACACTCCTACTAGCACTGTTCCTCTCTCCTCGATATCAACCACCTGTTCTTCAATAAGGCTTTTGGCTAAGTCCACGTGACCGCACGCGATGGAGAGCAAAAACAGACTGCTTTCCTCGCCTTTGTGTGGATAGGCAACTTTAGTCTTCAAGAGCTTCCTTCGCTGTTCCAGGGATAATTTGTGCTTCTCAAACACAGAAAGTAGCGATTCGCCTGCTATTACCTTTTCGATCGCCTCACGCTCTAAGTCGCTTCTTTGACTCTTGTAATCGAACGTCTTAATGTGGTTCGAGAATTCCAGACTGATCATTTTAGTAAAGTTTTCAGTAACAATTTTCAAAAGTAGGGGTAAAGATTCCTCCTCACGGAGATTCTTCAACGTGTCACTTTTCTATATCCCACTTTCAAATAATTAATTCTAACGCTCATGCCAACGATGACGACACGATCATAAGCATGTCATATGACTAAAAACCTTCCCAGTCTACCCCTTTTAGTATTGTGAAATACCCTCTCTACCCTAGAGTAAGAGTAAGAGTTTGGAAGACTTGGTAGCCTCCCATTAATTAGACTTTTTTTGTTTTTCGTCGGTGTTTGGCTCCTCGTGGCTTTTTCCGACGGATTTTTACACCGTGAAACTCACCCCTTTTGAGGATGAAATTGCTGCAGACGATATGGAGCAAAATTCGAATGACAACGATTTATTTCTTGATGCACAGTGAAGGTACTTTTCTCAGATTTTGAAAACGATTTGAAACTTACGGCAATCACGTTTTCCGTACGGCGGAGGGTTTATTTACGTTTATAGACGATGTGTACTTTTGTTCTTTTTCATTTCATTGAGCCTAAAATGTCGTTTTTGTCGATGAAAAGGAACGTTGAAAAATTGTATCTGTATGCGACATACCAAGTTATATGATATTGGATGAACTCAATGAACGCGATCTAAAAAAGTAATTGATCTGTGTGAAATTTTTCTGGCACTGTATTATTACTACGTTGTGTTAAATTGTTGATTCACAAACGCAGGTAAAGCCGGTTTAAATATTCCGTCATCTTTTCGCGACTTCTAAATGCAAGTGTAAGGGGAAGTCGTTGAAATTTTTTTGAAATGTTCGCCTCGAATTGACATATTTAAACTTTATTACAGTGAGGTGGGTGTGATTTTTAAATTTGGTTTACAAGGCAAAGCTTATTTCAAATTTGATTCTTCTTCGTCCCTTGCTCTTCGATCGCCAGATTTCAGAAAGCGATCTGGAGCGTCTTCCGCTCAGCCTGATATACTTTGCCTGTTTTTTTTTTGTGGTATTGTGGCCACATTTTCGACCTTTTTTGTATCGAGATCGCGAGATGTATTGTTGAGGGTTTTGTGTCAGATACGTACTTACACTACTCTTGGACGACGTGAAAACGAAAGATGACGGAACAGTGTAATTTTAGATACATGTTAGTTGATAATGAAATAGGATTTTCGCTGATTGAATGCTACCAGTTTTTTTGCGCATCAGAAGGTATTTGGTTACAGATGCTACTTCGCCATTGTTGAGGTTCCCTCGCTCGAGTGTTTTGCGTGGAAAATTATTGAAATGTAACTCGGTTGATTTGACTCTGATCATTGCAGTTTGCAATTTTTGGTGTAGTTTTGATGCCAAATGTTTTGTCTTCGTTTAATTGTTATATGACAAGAAAACATGTCTTAAAATGAAACTCTCGTTATGCTAATTACAAGTATTTCCGGTTTATGATACAGATGTACCGCACTGGAAAAAATATATATATCTTACATTTTTAAGTGCTTTTTCGTGGAAGTTCTTGGAATAATATTCTAATTAAGGATTGGGTTTGAGACGTGTCTGGATGAAAAGCTTTTTGAAGATATTTACATTTATGTTTATGTTGACTTCTGGGTTAGAGGCATTTCTTTGGGGATTTTTAAAATGATGTCACAAAAAAATCACTTAATAAAAATTTGGATTCAAATTTACTACCCTCTCTCCTGGTAAAAATCCTTGCATGAATTTTGTGTCCTTTAATTTGTATGTGCTTTTATGGACTCGTTCAAAATATCCAACTATTTGGGTATAAGTCACAAGGTATACATGTGCCCTGTACTAACATTTTAAAATGTTGTTTTCCTTTTCTGTCAATATTTAGCTGCAAGACATGAAAAATGTGGAATTAAAATTACTCCAGAAATTCAACGAATCTTAATTCAATAAATTTTGTTCCAGCAAAACACAAAAGATTACCAATCTGTAGACTATAGATCTCCAAAGTTTTCTTGCTATGTGGTATATGCCATGTAATATGTGTATTTTTCATAAACCTGGGATGGAACGAAATTCTGATTTCACCCCCTTCCCCCATTCCCCTTTCTTTAAGAGGACTCCAACCTCAAACAATCTAGTTTTCTAGCTGAATTCAATTATTTTCAAAAATAGTGGCAGAGAGGTCAACAGTTTGATAACTGAATGAATAACATCTTGATCAATTGCTGTTGTTGTGTGTTAAATTCCAAGAGTATTTAATGGAGAGGCAAAGGTTAAAATCAAAGAAAGAACAGTATGTAACAATTGATGTAAAACTGATATACATGTTGCTAGAAACCAAAATCAAAACTGAAACATTTCTTCCTGAAAAAACTTGACAAACTACTTCAACTGTTAGTCAAATTAAGTCAGAGAATTTTCAGTCACATGATTGTTGACCTTTTAGAAAAATATTTGATAAACTACCTTAAGTTTATTCCTCAACTCAGTAGAGTTTTTGTCAGAAACATGACAAGATATCTTATCTAGATGTACTTCAAAGCTAACAGGAAGTTCACACTTGACCTTGGGTTTGGATCAAGCCTTTCCTTCCTCGTTAACCACAATGATGGCACACACATCTGGTGTTGAAAGATATCATTGATTCCATCTGTAAAACATATCGTCAACCATGACAGGTCCAGCTATTTGTGTTAACAAAAGTTCAAATTTATTAACTAATGTGATCAAACAAACTTTTAGAGAGAATGCATGAAAATAGTAAATATGTTCTTCACAGGTAACATTTGAATTTAGATAGGCTGACAATCAATCTTTCTAAATCTATAAAGTTGTTAAGAAAAAGTAAATAACCAAAAGTATTTAAAGTTTGATAGGATTGAGGCTTTGGTTTCACGCTAAGAGGATAAATTAAAAAAGTTATGTTTTGAAACAAAATTTTGTCTGGAAACATGATAATTGTTTATTTTGCGTACAATACTATTTTTTTTCCTTAAAGGATGATGTCTCAGGAGTATGGTTGACTGTGAAAAACCTCTGAGAGTAGGAGACTACTTTGTAGTAGCTGGCCTTGGTAATGGCAAGTCAACTCAGAATGCTATACACTTAGATGATGAAAGGAATATTCTGGAACCAATCACAGACATTACTGTGATATTCAAGAGTTTGGGAGAAAAACCTCCAATTGGATACAAATGCATCGACAAAACCCCCGCAGGATTTCCTGCTGATCTTAATCATGGCTCCATAAGACAGCCATCATGTTACCTCTGCATTCGCAGAGGAACAGACAAACCTCCATTGACTGATATTGGGTAAGAAATTCATTACAATGTATCAATTTCCAACAGGCACCTACATGTATGATTTCTACACTTAATCATTTTACTTTTACAAGAGTGACCAGCATTTAATTTCTCCTCACAGTATTATCTCTAAATCAAACATAAGTTTGTGAGAATAGGGAGAATGATCACCAGGAAAGAATATAATGACTATGAAACAAGTTCTCCTTCTCAATATTATAGAAAATGTAGAGAGAATAGTGTAGAAAATAAGCATACTGATGTTAGGGGGTAAAGAGTTAATATTATCATAATATTATTACCTATAAGTACATATTGAGGTGATATACGGTGAAACAACCTCTGTGCCAAACATGCAAGAGATTCTAGTTGCTTTTCTGATAGAAGGACAACATAATCCAACAGCCCACTCCATGTTCTATTTCTGGTCATTGGATATCCACCCTTGAAATGTTAATACCTTTTTAGCTTCAAACACCACCCATTTGAGAGCCAGTTTCCTGGCTTGGTTCTCTCTTCCAGCCAGTATTTTGTAAAATTTCTGTAGTGTGTGTTTTTTAAGTAGCAGGATCTCTGGCCCCAGCACATAACCTACCCACCCCCACACTTTCACTTCATGTCTTTGGGGCCTGGAAAGGCTAACTTTACCTGTTTTATTAGTGGTGGAAAATGGTACCTTGAAAAATCATGGATATTGTACTTGTAAATTTAATATCTGATCTTAAAGTGTCATCAGCCTTTGTAATAAGCCTTGATATCATTACATTATCTTTGTTTTGGTCTGGGATTTTTGCACTTGTTCAGAACTATCAAAGTCTTATTTTGTTCTTACAACCAAGGGTCTTTGTCATAAGTATGTAAGTTGGAGTTATCTTTGTGAGTGACAAAACTCTGTGTATCGGCCATTATGTGATTGTAGAGTCCTTTATGAAGGAAAAGACCGCTTAATGGCAGGATGTGACATTGTGACATATACCGAAACAGGAAAGTCAGCTAATGTTAACAACAGTGGTGGAAATAGAACATTCATCACTTATCGTCGAGCACCCCACAGAATGGCTCACTCCTCACTGGCAGTCACAGAGATTTGTGTTATTATAACAAGCAAGGTATTTGTAAATGAAATGATAACTGAGTTGTTTAAGATCCTTAATTTATTAGGTAAATAGAATGTCTTTGATGTAGCAGTTCCAGAGTCTGTACTAAAATAACCAGGGAACTATGGAAAGGACTTGCATATTTGTCTTTCTGTTTTGCCCAATTTCTTTAATTTGCTCACCAGCCCACATTCCTCTCCATTGTTGTTTGTTGTGTGTCTTTCCTTTGTGCCTTCAACGAGTAGTAATGAATAACTAAAAACAACAGTGTGGATTGTAGGCGTGTCAGTAAGAGAAAGTGGGCCTGGTGAGAAGAGAAAATTCTGGGTCCGCTCTGTGGTTCCATCTGAGTGATTTTTCAAGTAACATTTTATAATGAAGGGTTATTGTGTTCCTGTAGAATGAAAAACCACCACATGCATTTTGCTTGATCGACAGGAATCTCAACAAAGGCATGGTAGGTTTTATTTTCATTTTTTTTTTTTTTCTGTTATTGCTTGAGTCATGTGATATTTAAGACATGCAGAGGTTTTATGTTCATCAAGAGCTGCACAATTCACTGGAATGCTACTCAGTAAGATATTTGGTACTCGTGACAGTTCATTTCATAATTCTTTTTCAGGTTGGATCAGATGTGTACCTTTGTTACAGAAAGTCATTAGCAAGGCTGCGCTCTATCATGTACCCTGCAGGTAACAGAGTGTGCTGGCATTTCATGGTTTACTTTGCAAAACTTCAGTTTCAATCACCATTATTCAAATGGTTCTGTTTTTCAATTTTTTGTACAACCTTACCATGGTTAATGAAAGACCTTTCAAACAAAGCTAGACACGTGACTCAGTCCAGGTGGAACCGCTTCTAGAGACAAGTGTCTGGAACTGTAGTTAATCTTTTCATAAATCCTCATGAATTCCGTGTTGTTGTTTAAAAAAGTGTTTGTTTCATCCTTATCTTTTAGAGGTTCTCAGTCGATTTCCTGTGGAGGACTATGAACGTTTTCCACTTCCAGATACAATTCCAATGTTTTGCCTTCCTCAAGGAGCAATTATTGAATGCTGGCCTGAAAATTCTCAATATCCTCTTCCCTCTTTCTCCACATTTGTACTTACAGGTGCTTCAGGACAAAAGGTATGCTGTGACTAATAATTTTCTGGAATGTCTGAAGTGATTGTGAATTTTCAACATGTCTTAATTAAGAAAACAAACAAAAGTGGAATTTTTAGGTTGGGATTTTAAAGCTAGTAAACTAATACTTCAGCTTCAGCAGGATAACATGTTAAGAGTGACAAAAAACACAAGGCAAACATGTTGCTGCTTGAGAATTCTTAAACTTAATAATTCTCTCATCAACTGCTACGTATTTCATGTACATTGGTTGACCTTTTTGCTCCAGTGTGCTTAATATATGGGGAATGTGTATGGCATTACAATCAGCAGATAAATCTTAGGGTTGATAATTACATTAAAATATTAACTTTTACCAAATTTGAGATTTATGGAGCAGCAGTAACATTCTTTGAACTGCTTCCTGAGGAGCAACTGACAGAGGAAAGGAAAAAAGCTTTAAAGCTGGATGATGACCAAGTAAGTATTGCAGTGACTCTAAGGGGCTTTTACTGAACTGAAGTGCGAATAAGGAAATTTTAGAAATAGATTATAGCAAAAATTTTAATCAGACGTGATAATGTCTTGCTCATGAAAGGACTGCAAGGCCTTGAGCAGATGATGCACTAAAAAAAAAAAAAAAATTGACGCACTGATATTCCATAAGTACTGTGGGTCAGAGGCATAGAAAACTATGGAAAAACTACATAAGCTGAGTCTTTTAAAATGAATATAGGTCAGAACTGCAGTTTGAAAACAGCCAATATCTGTTTCAATTTTTTCTAGCACAAAATACTTTATTCAAATTTACATTTGTTACAACAAATTTTACCTTAAAAATTATCTTAAATTTTAACGATGATTTGTTACTGTAGTGGAGGATTCATTTAAGAAATGCAGTAGTAGGAGTATAGTTGAAAGTTACAGAAAAATGATTCTCCATTTCTGAATGAAAATAGTTCAAGTCATTGAAATTTAGCAGGCAACTTATATGTGGTAGGTAGGCAGATAGGTATGCCATCTATAGTGCCGAATGAACTTCTTGATCAAGTATTCCAATTAAAATTTTTTTCCATTTACTGTTGACTGTCTCTAGAATTCTGAAGAAGGGAAAAGAGTTGCTCACACAAACAAGTGCATGTGTGTGTTGTCGCATTGGCCATTTTTTGAAGCTTTCAAAAAGTTCCTGTCCCAGCTGTATAGAATTTCTGTATCAGCACAGCCACTGCCCATTGAAAGGTATCTTAGAATACTTTTGCAGTTTATTGGTTACATTTGTAAACTATGTGGTGCTAAGTTTTACAGCTGAAATCTGAAGATGTTGGAATTGATTAACTTGAAGGGAAGTGTGATTGATGTTCATAACAATGAGCCAGTTGCTTTGATATTACTTTCATTACTTAATATGCAGTAATTCATCAAAAGATAAGCAATGTTTTCCTTTCTTCAAATTGATTTTGAATGTTGTAATCAACTCATTAAGCATAGAATGTGACAGACAGGTGTATATATCTTTGTCATGTAGGTATATAGCAATTTTGATGCTTGATGTTCCTTTTCCTTCACCCCAAAGACCAAGAATTCTTGTGCAGGTACCCTTGATTTATTTATTTATTATTATTATTTTTTTTGAGATCAGTCAAAAGTAGATTACAAAGCAACATTTCTGATGGTCTTTGATTACAGCACTATTCTGTACCAACCTCACAGTTCAGTAGGCATGAAATGAAAAAAATGGCAAGCAAATAGGCAGCAACAGCTACCTGTTGAGTAACCTTTACTACTACTACTACTACTCCTTCTCCTCCTCCTCCTCCTCCTCCTCCCACCCCCATCTTTGCTTGGGTTTAGGTCAACCAAGAGGCAAACGTTTTTTGTTTTTTTTCATGCGGAATTGAATAGCCTATGAAAATTACAAAACCCCAAAGAGCAGATGGATGTTATTTAGAGGGCCAGAAGTGACATGTTTATTTTTCAATTTGTTTTTGCAGACAAGCATGTATGATCCATTTGAAATAAGCCAACTCTCTCACACTCCTTTGCCAGTCAGGTAACATGGATTAGAATTAAGATTTTCATGAAAGTAGACTTAATCTTTCTTGACTATCACAAGTGCTTGTAAATGGATTTGTTGCTTTAGTGTGCCGAGGCAAATGTTCAAAATACAATTATAGCATCCAAACACTTTTCATAATTTATGCAAATATGAGTGGCCAATGTATGGAAGGAAGAGGTATTGGGTGGATGTTCTTCTTGTCAGTACCTTAGGAAATGTGTAGAGAATATTATTTGGAATATGCATACTGATGTTAGGGTGTAAGGGGTCATTCATCTTCATTTTGAAAGTTTCTTAGTTGATTAACTAGTTAATTTGTATTGTTTATTTCAGTGGTGCATCTTACATAGCTATGCTTCGCTACCTGCATCCAGACAATGCTATGCTTTTGTTTTATCTTGTTCTCACTGAACACAAAATACTGATTCACTCTCTACGACCACCTCTGATGACAAGTATTGCTGAGGCAATAACAACGGTATGCTGTGGTTATTGTAAAAACCCATCACATTACTCCTTTCTAAATTAATTTGATTTGATTTTCTTTTTTCTTGATCCAATGGTGCTGATGGACATGAGTGTTAGTGACCTGTTAGGAAACACTTAACTTTTATGGGAGGGGTTGGGCTGATGTTATAGTGTTGTAGCATCCCTTTTACTTATGTACAATAAAGAACCAATATCTGGTATGTTTTGTATGGTTTTTTGATATCCAGCTTGAGAAAGAAAAATTTGCATCTTATTTTCTTTGAGTGGTACTATCATGAACATATTAAGCACATTTGGTTGCGTAAACTACAGCTTTGTAAGAATAAAGGCATCGAAAACACCACCAAATGTTGGTATACTCTATGCAATGTCTTAGCACTTGCACGTCATGCAAGAAACTAGGAACTTCTCTTAAAAAAATTGTGATGAAAGGAAGTAGTTTAACATCATGTAGTATTAACAGTTAGCTAGTGTATTTTTCAGCTGCCAAAACTTTTGTACATGTAAATGCAGCTAGGTATACTACAAACTGTTGCCGTCATTCATTGTCCATAAGCAGTTGTGATGTTCCTCTCTTTCAGCTTCTGTTTCCCTTCAGCTGGCAATGCCCCTATGTTCCACTTTGTCCATTAGGGTTAAATGATGTTCTAGATGCACCTTGTCCATTTATTGTGGGTAAGTAAAAGGGAAGAATTAAACAGAACAAATAAGATATCTACTTTTTCATTTGAAACATTTGGTATTCAATTAAACTTTACAGTAAACACTAGTTCTCATCTTAATTTCATAACAATTCAATTCCGGCTCTATTCCCCTAACTTAAAGACCAACCATGCCAGTACCACATTCTCTTGACAAACGCCCTTAATTTTAGCTGTTCGTTTTCTCCAAAATTTTTTTTTCCGAAATGTTTTATTATTATACTCTACACCAAATTAAGTGTAAGAATAAATACTACATTAGAGGTTGATGTGTTGAAAGATATCTACTATTGTTTTTCAGGTATTGATTCACGATACTTTGATCAGTATGATCCACCTGATGATGTCACTTGTGTTGACCTAGATAACAACACTATTTCACTGTAAGTTTGGTGAAATGAGAGACAAAACTTTGTATTACTGAGGCTCACAACTCGTACCTTTTCTAAAATGTAGATTTAGGCACATCTCAAGCTACACGTGTATTGTATAAAATCAATTTGGAATACATCTTGGAATAAAGAGTGGAAATTAGAAAACGTTTATTTTTTTTGTCAGTGAAGGTGTCGTTTTTCCCGCCGTGCAATTATATCGTTCTTCATAATTCATGTGGTGAATTTATGTACATTACAGAGAGAATGAACTCAAAGGTGCTAGCTGGAAAAGTCTTCCAAAGGTATGTAATAATTAATGAGATTAAGGATGAGTTTAAAATTTATTACTACCATTGTAAATTTGGAAATGCTTGTCGATTCAAACAAGATATATATCGTGGATTTATATCTCCATGAACGACTCAATCCTAAGCAGTAGTAGTTATGCATAGGCTGACAATTGTTGAATTCTTATCTGGATGTGGAGTGAAGGTTTAGCGCTAACCTCCGTTTTTTGCCTCTCATTTAAATTCCATTCTTACTTCTATGCAGAAACCGGGAAAAGTCTTACAAGAAAGACTGAGTGAGCTTTTTTATCAATTATACCAACTGTGCCATAAGGAAAGAGAATGTAAGTTGTTCTATATTGAGAAATTCAGCAACAAGTGTACGTGAAATGATTAAAAATACATCACTATTGATAGGGTAATACACTCGAACCTGTATTTAGCGGCTGGTTCCTTAAGTCCCGAATTTGTTTCCCTTTAATCACTGTAATTTTCACCTCTATTTAGCGGTCACCTATTACCTTTTTCAACGGTCTTGTTTGTATTATCTCTCATTTAACGCCGAACCACTCAAATATGACTAAGAATAATCTATCAACTAATTTATAATCCATGTTTTTTTCTAAAAATCAAAGTGAGTATTTTTGAGCAAGATCGTGTACATAAAGTTGTCAATTATGACATAAAGTTGCGTTGTGTATTTTTTAAAATAACACTCCCAATCTGTGGAACCTGTATTAAGTGGTCCGCCCGCCATCGTAGGTGACCGCTTAACACAGGTTTCACACTGTATATGCGTTAGTAAGGCTTTTTGGTGGGCTTAACTGAAGAATCGAACGGTTTTAAAGCATTCAATATGACTTGCATGAAAGATGTTGAATGGAGAGTCACGAAGTAGCGTTCAAGCGAGTTTACTGGTAGCGCGAAAAGCCTGTGCTACTGAATGAGTGAGTGGCTTCAGAAAAAAGAAAGTAAGAAAACAGAAAGTGTTATGGAAATTGATAGCTTTGTACACGGTCGTATAATGTTCAGTTTGATTTGACTGCAGCTATTGGTGGAGATATCATAGAGACAGCCATCGAGTTAGCTCCCCTGGATCATGACACGTCCTATTCAAGAAAAAGGGTAAGATTCGTTGCAGCTTTGGTTTAACAAGACACGATATCTTAAATAATTTGTAAATGTCTAAGAGAATAGCCATTAAATGGAATGAACCTTTGAAATACTGCGTGCTAAGGTAGGCTAACGGGGTAAGAATGGGTGCATATCAGGGAGTTTGCAACAGCCAATCAGAGACCTCAAAGTGAAAACAAATAAACTACTGGAGGCGCGGGAAAACGCGGGTAACCAAGTAGCGTCGGGTTCAAGTTTTGCATCTGATTGGTTGAGAGGATGTTTTTTGGGCCAATCACAGAGCGCAGGGAAGAAAACCCAATTCAATCCTTGATTGCTTTCGACACTTAATCCATTTGCTTTAAACTTACAGGGAATGCGACGATTTACACTAAGTGCTTATGAAAGAGTCAAAATGTTGAGCTAAATTTTTTGAAAAGGAAAAAACTGCGAAGATGCTCTCTAATCTAATGGCGAGATGAAGATGCTCTCTAATCTAATGGCAAGGTGAAGATGCTCTCTCATCTAATGGCAAGATGAAGATACTCTCTAATCTCATGACAATGATGCTCTCTTATCTAATGGCAAGAAAAAAACTTCATGCAGCAACTGCGTTCCAATCTAGACAAATGCAATGAAACTTTCCATCACATGAGCTATGTTATTTTTTCTCAGCTTCAACTAGAGGTAGCCATTCAAGATGCTTTCCTACGGTTTATGGCAACAATTTTGAAAGGCTATGAGTGAGTAAAAAATTCTTTTTTGATGAAACATTCTTTGAAAAAATTAAAACAAACAAAAATGAAAATTAGTTATCTAGATGTTAATGTGTTATTTAAAAACGCAGCGATAAAGAACAGTGTAGGGAGAAATCACCGTCGACAAATTTCAGTTCTATTTAACACGAAACTTCTTCGATTTTCCTTGAGTTTTTCTTCTTCGAAGGATAATATTCATAAGAGGGGGTCATTTTCTAAAGAAAGTGTGGTGCTGCGTCTTTGGGGGGGGGGTAAGGGGGGTTACAACAAGATAATTTGGTTTCATCAACTGAGATGATATTGTAAATTAGCCGCCGTTGTCGAGAATTTCTAAAGCTGACGTTTTCGAACGTTAGCCCTTTGTCAGAGCGATGTACTTACTCGAGTTTATAGGGGTCAATAAGCATTTTTATAGCAATAATTACCTATGCTAACCCATTCAGTTAAAACGATTAAATTGTTTCGTAGGGCTTTCTTAAAACCAATCACTTCAAGACCAACCCAGGGGACGTGCGATCTGACGTCGCTCTTTGACCTTGAAGGTTTGTATGTAGAAGACATACACTTATTTTGCCCATGGGAAAATTATTAAACCGCAACTTGTGCTGAGTAGCTCTTGAAAGGGTGAAAGTACCTGGAAAGAATCGCGTTTTATGTTGAAATGAGCTGAATTAAGTGTTTTTGAGTATGTTTATGGCTTAAAACCAAGACTGTGATTGTGGATTTTTCTTTTGCTAGGTTTTCTTAGGAGTCGTCCGAATTCACAATCAAAGTTTTTTCAAATCTTATCAAGGACACAGGTAACAAAAATTTAGACTATGACTCCTGATTTGACTTTTTCTTCCGTGGTACTGTTTGAACCCAGGTGTAATGATGTTTTTGCTAGAGTTATTCTATACGTCTGATTTTTGTTTTGTTTGTTTTTTTTTTCGTTTGTTTTTTCAAACAGATGTTTAGCCGGTTTATTGAAGGGAGATCCTTTGTATCGTCACAAGACTCTTTGTTCGCATTCTTTGACAACTGTTTAGAAAAGGTAACTCGCTTTATGTGTAGGATTCTTTTTGGGAGTGTCCCACATTGATATGTCTGTTCATTCCTTCCGCCGGTATATTAATCATCGTTACTTCCACAACTCTTTGCTTTTGTCTACTTTGTAAACCCTGTCTTAAGGCCATAAATTATGCCCAGTTCCCGGCTGTGGTTTGATGCGCCCACAATCCTCGTAAGCGCACCGATATACCTTTGGCTTTGGGACTGAGCCACGTCATGATTTGTGAATTTTTAAGATTTCAGTACACGAAATCCGGCGTAATGTATCTCGATCCCCGAGATTTTGTGAGATGACCAAAGAGTAATGCTTTTGAGTGCTTTGTGTTGTAGCTGGACGTATTACCAGACTGTCGTCTTGTTGAAGTAGATGAATCAGTTGCAAGGTATCATTGTTTTATTTCAGTAAGTCTTACCTAAAATTCAAATTAAAAAAAAAAAGATTCCACATCGGTTGTGGACCGTTATATTTCGACTTCATATTGCTGCATTTACGTTTGAGGCCGACTAAATTCCTGTCAGTCTTTGTAGCACTCGTCAGTTATGCGGAATATGGGCTTTAAACCCCGTGCCTTCTCAAGGTTCGAAATTGTGACAAGCTGGTCGCCAATGCGACCGAAAATTAACTGTTTTACAATTGGTTCCGTATAAATCGGTGCGGAAAGTTCATTGCGTTTGTATGTACTCAAATGGTGATCTTTCTCAAGTAGAAAAATGTTTAAAGCATAGCAACGTCTCTTTCAAAACTTCGCGATTTCGTGTTTCGCAGTGGGACGCATACGAGACAAATTCCACTCCTTGGCAACCTCGTTCCGTCTGGCAATTAAATCAAAGTAAACGTTAAAATTTCCAGTCGGTGCCACGACTAAAAGTTAATTTTGGGCCCAGCTTATGGTACCATGACTAGGAACGATAAAGTAAAGGAGATGTAAGACAAATTTTATGAAAGCAAGGCAGTGAAACATTCGATTCCCGAGTGAGTGATGGAACCCCGAACAATTAGATATCCTTCCATCTGCGTTATAGAAATCAAGTCTCTATCTGTGGAAGTTTCAATACACATTATTTCTTTACCAGGGGTGGTCAGAGGACCTATGTTGTCACACCACCAGATGTTTCCAACATGGATAAAGGGAAGTTGTATACGTAAGTAGAGAACTATTAAAACTGAGAAAATCTCAGGCAGGTTCATTGGGTGGCCAAGACGGTTTTGACTTGATTCCTCAGAGACTATTCTTAATTAAAGTGAAGGCCGGACAAGTTCTCGTTGTTCCTACAGCAATTTTCTGTCAATTAACTGTGGAAGTGGGCAGGAGGAGAGAGAGTGGGATAGCCAATCTGGGCGTCGGCCGTGATGTGTCGATTTTTTCCAGCGAAAACAGAAGCTTGTTTCCTCTCATGTTTACTTAGTGAACTTTTGCTGACGAATTTTTCGAAGTCGTTCTCATCCCAAGCCCCACGCCGTTAGCTATGATGTTGCTTTCACTTAGAACACGCGATCAAAGATCGAATCTTTGACAATTATTCATTTGATTTTTTTTTTCCATCAGTTACCCAGTGTTTCCAGTTTTAAATGTCGATCTCATGAAGCCTGAGGGGCTTTCTTTTTCTGCTAAGCCTGCTCAGACGCCTCCAGTATCTCCTGTGGTCAAAAGAACAAAGGCAGAAAGACATCAATCTGTTCTGGTAATAAAAGACTGGGGTCTGAAAAATGTGTTTTCACTGTTTTTTTACTAAAAAGGTTAATGCCCAAAATCTTGACATGTCTTTGTAAACAAGGGGTATTCTTCTGTTTTGTTCGGTGAAATAGATTTACTTTTTAACCGTAGCCTGGTCATCTAATTCTTGGGAATGACATAGGAGTGGAGGGAAAAGGGGTATCGACGTTCCCTTAAGCCTCAGGGGTTTGTCATGAAGGTTACAAGAACTCGTATGATGCTGACCTTAGTTCTTGTTGTGGACGATCTCAAATTTGAACTTTTTTTCTCTTTCTTTAGATGGCGAAAAAGTACGCGGGAAGTCCCATAAGCTGGGCCAAGTGAGTTATTGGAATTGTGTATTCATTTGTTTTGTTTTGTTTAATTTCTAACTTTTGTTTCGTTCCTTACGCCAGGTGCCTTTTAGCTCATTGCTACAGTCTGTGGTTTATTCATCTTCCCGCCTATGTGAAGCGTCATCACAACAAGGCTAAAGTGTTACACGTAGCTTTCGAGGTGGGTTTAATGACATTTGGGCAGGAAGTATTGAGAAGTTTCATGGTCTTCTTTCGCAATAATTGTTTTGGATTTCACACCGAACCGTGGCGTGGCATTACCAAGAGTGGCTACGTAGGAGAACCTCTTCGTTTTGAATGGAATGTCAGGAATGTTGATGTAGCTCTTTTCCATAAGTAACATAATTCTTGGCCTATTACTGAGTAAAGTGTTTGTCGTTGAAATTTATCCCATCGCCTCAACGAGAGATCATCAGAGAGTAAATATGACACCGGCGCGAACTCTTTGATGTAGCGAATTTCAATTGAGTGTCTTAAAAACACTTCCTATCTACGAATACGTCCAAACCCCGCTTTCCTTGTTCGGCAACGGAGTCACCTTTTACAATATCTTTGCGGCAGGTCTTGTGTAAAATGAAGAAAAAGGGTGTTAAGTTACCAGATGAGGTGAGTCTACTAAAGTCACTAGAAGCTAATGTTTGAGAGAGATTCCCTAACTTAAGGGAGTGAAGGTAAAAAAAAACCTTCCAGAAAGAGACTTGGTCACTTGGTCACTTCCGCCTATTACGCCATCGAAAGCTGCGTAGGGAAGAGATTAGTGAAACCCCTGGCCTTCCCTACTGGCTGAATTGTTCTGGCCTACCAAATCTGATTGATAACTGGTTCACTTCCGGACTGGATATGAGACTTAACTCCTATTTCTCTCGTGAACCAGGTTTGCTACCGAGTGCTTATGCAGCTATGTGGGCAGTACGGCCACCCAGCCTTAGCTGTGAAGGTCAGTATCATAGCAGTTGTTTCTGATACAGGCCGTGTCAATGTTTGTACCTACGTGTATGTAGGCACGAAAGAACAACACTTAAGATTGTTGTTGTTTTTTTTGTTTATCACAAGCACGTTGGCTGGTTTATCGAATAAATTAGATCGGCTTGTTGAGAATAGTCGCATGAAATGTTAACGGAAGCAGAGGTTATTGTGTTAACAGAATTGATAGTGTATTGATATCAAGTGCATCGCCCCTTAAGAAAATGTGTTTGTATGTTTCTTTACCAGAAGTATTAAATATAGAGTAGGTTGCCTGCCTCTTTATCGCAGAACAGCCACTTGAGTGAAAAAATGTCTTTTGTACTACTCAAGATGATATCTCTGAGCTAGAATCGTCCTCCTGCGCGTTCAGGACGTATTTAGCTAAAAAGTGCTCTTTCAACATTGATGTGTGGTAATTTCTTGGAAAATGTGATTTCTTTTTCTCCATTCAGGTCTTGTTTGAGATGAAAAACCAAGGAATAACTCCAAATGCTGTCACGTACGGCTACTATAACAGGGTAAGGAGATGTTTTGATTATAAATTTGCTCCTGGCTCTATGAAAAAAAAAGCTCCGAACTTTCTTCTGAAAGTAAAAGTTTCTGATCCACGCGTTGTTCTCACCGTGTGTATTGTAAACGATATACCGGTATGTTATATCCCTGGTCAGATGACGTGATTCCCAGCTCGCGGGGTAACCTAACCCTTCCGCTCTCCCCCACCCCAACCTTTTCTCTCTTACCTTCCCCTAGGAGAACTTTCCAGCTGGCCAACCGTCATGTAAAGGTCAGTAAATCTCACAATCAGATGTCGTTTCATGGTTAATATGCTTTTCACTGATCAGAAATTTTAAAAACCTTCTACCATGCTTTCTCACTTTGAGGCCAGTACATGACATTTTTTTACATCTCGCTCGCAGTATGGAGAAAGATCTCTTGAAAGGTAATTGCCAAAAGGTCGCGAATCACAAAAGTAATAATTCTTTATCGCGACAGAACCTTTGCATTCAGTGTTTGTGTTACGTCATAGTTGATGGTTTTTTTCTCTTTTTCGCAGGCTGTAATCGAGGGCAAATGGCCTTCCAACACGACCAGTTCACACATGTGGAATAAACTAAGGAATTTCTTTGCCGCTGTATATGAGCTTCAAAGACTAGCGAGATTAGCAAAGAATAACAAAGGAGGTAAACGGAAATTTGAATTTTTCTTGTAGGTCGTTGCAATCATCGTTTTTCGCCTGTCCTCTGCAATCCTTGTTCTAACTTGGATAAGTTCTTCTTCTGTGGTTTATTCCTTATCTCATTGAACCAATGTTCTGTCACCTCCTATAAGACAAGGACTAAAAAAAAAAGTAGCACTTTTCCTTAAAGCTTAATTTGTTGTTTGTCTGCTGTTCTCCATTCCTTGTGGTTCACAGATTTTATAACACAAACATGGTGGAGTGAGGTTATTCCTTTGTAATTTGTTCCTAGATTCCTTGTCCCCGACCGGGTCAAACAACGACTTAGATCTACTAGACACGCCTAGAAGAGCGACACTGAAAAAATCCGACCGGTCACGCACTCCGTCACGCGAACGCGAGAAAGCCCTGTCACACGAACGCTTGCTTGACTTGGGAGAGTCGAATGATGGTGAAGGTAGACGCACTCCAGATAGAGAGATCAAATCGCGGCGCGAGCGAACAATCAGCGAAATGTCTACGGCCTCTGAAGCAGCGGACATTCTGAACCTGTCCACCACGTCGCTGGACGGTGTGCCGTCCTCCACACGAAGAAAACGGCACACGAACGGTAGAACTGTCAGCGAAACGTCGGTGTTATCAGCTGCGTTTAGCGATGGTTTGCAGAATTCCACGTTGTATATCAATGCCAACAGTGAGGACTCTGATCCGTATGAGTACACCACCAGGATGTTGGATGATGTCATTCTTGGCCTTCCTGCTGCTCTACAGCCTGACACTGCACTGGAAGCTGTGTTGTGTTCGTGTAACCAGTGTACTAAATGTGGGAGATACCTTTACGATGAAGACATCTTGGCTGGCTGGACAGCAGATGAGTCCAACCTTAACACCGGGTAGGGCTTCTCATGACGCATGCGTGTAGACTGTGTAGCCTGCGAATTTGTTTGCTTGTTGAGAATATAGAAAAGGCTTCCAGAAATTACCTTGGGATAGTAGAAATATTGTGACAAACTGGAAGTCTTTGAGCAGCGTCATACATTTTCTCGTTAGATGCTGTAGATTATTCAATTTTAAGATATTGTGAACAGATGTCACGAAGCTGAAAACTCTAGCTTGGTGAGTTAATGATAATGATGATGACGCAACGAAAAGTTATTCAGACGTTTTGGTGACCCTTGATATGAAAAAGTTAGTTGAAGGTTCCTTATGACTTAAACCACCTCGAAGCTAAAAAGCCGATTTTTTTGTTGTTTAATTTGTCATATTCTTAAACTGCTATTTTGCCTTTTTCCTTCCTATACGTTCTTTTTTTCTCTCTTTGTACAGATGCCCCTACTGCCATACACAGCAGGTCGCAAGACTGACAGTAAAGATCAAGGTACCTTGAAAAATTCTAAAAATTCCAAGGCTGATGTTTCGAGCGTGAATCCGCTCTGACGAGCTGACGCTCGAAACGTCAGCTTTCAAATTTTTCTACTGTGGCCAATTCACGTTCTCGTTATATCCCATATCCCGCAAGTTATGCATTCATCGAACACTTTTCCTCATTTGCTAAGGTTTCTCTCTTTCTGGCTGTATTGATTTGTATCCAAAACGTTGAGGTTGTCATTTACGAAAAGCGAAATTCCCAAGTTGCATGAATGTAATATACTCTTTAGAGGGAAAAAAGTGAAGAAAAGGTTAGACTGTCACAAAAATGTTCTTGTCTTGCACCCGAATACTACTGCTTGCTTTTACCATTTAACCTCTATCGTTTCCTCCAAGGATTACCGGAATTGTTTTTCATCGCATCCAAGTTCAGAGTTATCGTCAAGTATTAACAGCTTCGGAAGTTCCGAACTTCTGCCGGGGAATGGCGAAGTGGAACCGACCTCCGAACCGCTAAGCAACTCGGTGCCTTCCACGATTGAATCTAATCTTATCAAGTTCTCCGCTCCCACGCGACCAATAAGTGTCGTTGCGCTGTCTCCCCCCGCCTCTAATCCCGTCCCCATACGGGGTAGTCACCATCGAATGCGTCACAGCATCAGTGCACCGTCAAGCGCCAACGCCAGTCCCTCGGGGAGCTTGCATGGCAGCCCGAGGACTGGATCATGGTTTCAGCGCATGCGTAGTAGCAACAGCACCTGTAGCCACGGAAGCACGTGGTACGGTAAGTAAAGATTGACTGATGAACTTTTGAAGATAAAAAAAAAAAGGATAATTTTTGGGCGTCTTTTTTACTTAAATTTTTCTGTTGAAATTAGCTTTAAAGTATCAGCTGAAGTCTTGAATGATTCTGAGAAGTTAAAGGTTGCAAAGCAATGGTCTCGAAACAGGAACTTTTTTAGCGTTACATTCCTCCGAGAACATTGCGCTCCTCTAGCATAACTTTACTTGTAATACTAGGATGAAATCAAAGAGCTTTTTCATCTAACGCACCAGTATTATGGAATTCTCTTCCTGAGGATATAAGGAGGTGCAAGTCGTTGACCACTTTTAAATCTAAGCTTATTTATGACATATCATATAGTTTTAATAATTTGGCTTAGACCTTTCGTTTAAATGTATTTTCAATTGGTTTCCTATTTAACTTTTAATATTGTAAATCGCTGTTGATTACTTTGTGGAAATGGCGCAATTTAATTCTTTTATGTTATTGTTATTATTATCATTATAAACAATTTATTTCCTCACAAATCTGATAGCTTAATATAGGTCATTTTTGTGACACCTTGAATTGATTTGCTCTCTCTTTCTTTACAGTATCCAGACCTCCAGAAGAAAGGGATAATATTATGGTAACTTACCTTAATCCTTTGGTTTTGAGAAAAGAACTTGAAAATATGTTTGAAAATGATGGCATCAGCACACTACAATTTCCTGACGTCGTGCAAGCGAAACCTGACATCTTTTGGAATCTGGTGAGACGAATTTTTATATTTATTATTTTTTTTTCTTACAGAAGTTTATTCATGTTTATATTTCTTTTTAAGAAATAGGTGGGAATAGAAATAGTAGATATGCTGTGAACCTCAAGCTTAGTCATCGAAATGAGAAAGATTTTATTCATTTCTAAAAAACGTGGGACAATTGCAAAGTTAAACGTCTACGAGCCACACTTGCAAGAAAGTGTAATCAAACTTTATCTGTTAATACACATGAAAAGATAATATTCGAGGATTTACGGTCCTTTTGGTTTGAATCCAGTGCATTTGTCTTCCTTTCTCCCTCCTCGAAAATTAGGGAACCATTTGAAAATCTTACTAGTTTTGAATGATGTGTTTTTTCCCCTCAGGTTTGGTATTTTAAAAGGCTTGACCTGCCCTCTCACTTGGCAGATCACGTGTTGTCCACCTACCCCAGCAACGAAAGAGCTGACAGATTCGAGGTGAAGAAACGTAACCTTTTTCTTGCTGTGATTCATTTCTTCCTAAAATGGTTGGTCGAATTTAGTGTTAAATCAGGCAGATGAGTGTATATAATGCCATTACATCTTTGCCAAGAAATTTTACTTGTCAATCGCTTTCTGAAGGGTCTTCGTGGCCGTTAGTACACATTGGCAGTTTGGGCTAAAAAGTTAACATTTACGAACACGATACTTTTGATTCTTACACTGAATGTCGCTTCTCGTCGTTGTGTTTCAAGCTAGAACGATCTACTCTCACTTCTCTTCGCATATGTTGCTGGAAATTAAACAGTCAAGCAGAAATCAAATTATTCTTGTGCCCCAAGCGGAAATCCTTTGAAGACAATCATAGAGCCCTTCAGGCCAGTTGGATACCGCGTTGAATTGGTTTTTATTTTAACGGACTTTTATGGCGTCTATCGATCATGCATGTTTTTTCATACATCAAGTCTGTCTAATTGATCACGTGATAGGAGCGGCGCAGTATCTCAGGACTTGGAACCCAGGTCCTTGTGTCCACTTCGTGGGATGGAGACAGGGAGGAATATGACACGGTCCCATTGTACGTTTTGTGGAATGCGCCAGGTTTGTACTATTTAACGGTAATTTTTCCAGGAAAGAGCTATACATTAACTGTTTTGCTGGTAAGAAGAATTTTTTTCCATGCGTTATGATCGAAAAATGGAGAGTTATTTCCTTGAACAAGGAGCTAATGTCAAAAGCAGAATTTTTTGCTAGCCTGCACTACTTTCAATGTCGCTTTGATTTCTTTAAGAGATTAGGCTTCACCGTGGACATTCGGGTCGTTTCTTTCAGCAAGTATTGATGATGGTTACATCTCCTTTTGAAGTTTCCTTCTGCCAGGCTTTAACTAATATTTGCGCATGTGGCTCTGATAATGTACTTCAGGCGACTAGTGTTTGCTTGAGGAAAAAGTTAACAAGGAAAATAATAATTCAAAATTGTTTTTGTTTGTTTGCCCCTGTAGCGGATCAGCAAGGATCACTGACGGACAAAGGACTTACTACTAGGGCGTAAGGATTTTCCTTGTTATGGAGAAGGGGGGAAGAGGGAATCGGAATGGCTCGCCTCCCAACGCTGTAGCCTGAGTTCGATTCCAGAACCCGGTGTCACATGAGGGCGAGTTTGTTGTTAGTTCTCGTCATTCCCCGGATTTTCCTTTCTCCACGAGACTACACTATGAAATTAATTTAATTCGTTCTATAATCAGTTGACGAAGGACGACTCAGTGTATGTCCCAGTGATATTTGTTTTGATATACCTGTTAGATCATTTATAGATCAGCGTGTGATACCGTGACCCCTGTAATCACCTGTTGTTTTTCTTTGCCTCATCTCTAGTGTATTGCAGTCAGTAGTGGCTCATATTCAGGAAAACGACGTTTACAGCCCAGCTTTAATACTGCTGGAGGAACGAAACCGGCAAAAGAACATCAACCCTAACGCAAAATGGTAAGTGTCTTACCAGACTCGAAACAGTGTTTAATTGTGGAATGAAATGCAGGACTGCAGTGACTGCTTTATTTTGCAATCTAATTTTCTTGAAAACTTGCCCCCTTCTTGGAATCAATTTTAACTGCAAAATTAATCACAACTTGGTCACTCGCGTTCTTCCAAGCCTGGCATTTGTGACTACTTTGATTTCAATTTTCTCTTAAACTGTTTTTGTATACGTATTTATTATAAATTTATTGATCTGTTTTTTGCTTTTTGTCCTCGAGGACACTCAAAGCGCTCTTGAAAGTCGAGAATATATGTTCCTAACAAATGTAAATTTTCTTCCCGTCAGGAGTGTTTATCGAGAGTTGCTTTACTTGTCACTGACAGCCTTAGGAGCAGAGAACATTGACGTCGGTGGGTAATCAAAGTTTTTCCCTTAAGTCCAAGGAAATTTATATCAAGCAGAGTAATGCGGTTTTTATTAGTAAAACCTCCTTGCGAACAAAATACAAGTTACTTGGAGATACTCGTTTCTTTTCCCCCACTTTTTATTAGTGAATTTCTCAACACATTTTGTAATTAAAGATTTTATTACCATGACTACTTTCTCAGATGCCTTCGACAAAGAGTACAGACGAGCCTATAGAAGCCTTTTTGAGTCAAAGAACTTCTCAGATCTTTTGTGTTTGGAGGATAAAAGCCCGCTGACTCGTGCAGTGTATTGCAGGCGCACTTTCGATACACCGACACTACAACCCAGGGTTCCGAAGCACCTCGTCAACAGCTTCCCTTGACTTGCTTGCGAGGAAGATATTAACCTCTGTGGATGTTCAGTCAACAGATCGAGACGGGTAAAGTTTCCTCGAATATATGTTCGCAAATTATTCAGAGGTCGTCGGCATTTCTCGAAAGATGGCGGTACTGGGCATTGAAAACCACTTTGCAATATCCGGTGGAAAAAGAAGGCGAAGACATTGAACGAAAGCACCATCGTCAGATTATCAGAATATTTCTGTCTTGGCGCTACCATGACGGTTAAAAAAATTACCAATGGGAACGCACTGTTAACATAGTCAACCTCTATCTCAGCAGTGGTTTTGAATACTTTACCTTAGTTCAGCACTCACCCTGCATCAGTATTTCACTAGTTTTGTATTCATCAGTGATTTTAAACATAGAATTGTACTATTACGTTTTTATCTTTACGCAATGCATCAGCAGTGATGCGGCTTTTTGTGTTTGAAGTTGCACACAAAATTATATCCATACGTAATTCATTGCTGACGTTATATACTTTTCAAACTTTACCTTGTAGGGTCTTAAGCCAAGACCTCACTTCCAATATTTGTTCGAAGCTAATCTTTTACAATGATTTTCTTGTGAAATTTAGGTTTAGAGGTTTAAAATACCTTACCAAATATGGTTTTTTTACTGAGTTAAAGTTTAATGGAGGCCTAATGAATATTTTCTCAAATTTGTGGGGTGGGGTCAAAAAATGGTTGGAGAAAATTTATATACTGGGGGAGATAGAAGTGTCTCGATGTGGAAACTTGTCGTCATATGAAAGTCACAAGGTTTTATTCATGAGGCAAATCATTGCAGCATTAGATAGTGCCATAATTCAATCATGGCTTATTGCGTCGGCAGCTAGGAGCAACGTTTTTTTTTTCCTGCTTTACATTCACAATATGCTTTCTAGAGAATTGTAACTCACTCGAGCAAAATTTGTTTGCCACAAAATTACAACAACAACGACAACAACAACATTAACAAGAAGTTATGTTTAAAATCGAAACGTTTTTTATAAATTAAAGTTTCTTTATTGCTCGCGCCAACACGATTCTTACCTACACTTTCACAGATTTAATCAACTTAAAGAATTGTAAATCATAAAAGCATCTAATATATTTTTCAATGTTTAGCAAAGTTTCATCGCTTAACCGTACGCTAATCAAGTTGTAAAAAAGTAGATTTAACTTATCATGTTTTACAATCGCCTGGAATAATCGTCAGAAACGTGACTTTCCTCGTATTAGTTTGGAAACAGGTAGAATTCCTGATCGATGACAGTTCAGTCCAGCCCTTTTTTCTGCGTCATTTGAACGCTTTTTCGTAATGACTGTCTCATGTGGTTTAAAGAATCAGGCAGTTTTGCTTCACATGCAGAAATCCATTTTATTCGAAGATCTTGGCATGAGTCGCGAGGGTTATTCCGTGCCAATGAAAAGAGTTGTTTTGAAATTAAAAGGGTTTTGGTGAAGGCTAAAAAATGTCCTTATGTAGATGGTATTTTGCATCCAATGGCCCGTTAATGTAATCGTGAAAAATAATTTAAAGTGCTTTTTAAGAATCGCTTCCAAGTATTAATCAAAAATCAGATTGTAAATACTAGATCAGGTCATTGTTTTAAAATAATTGAATAGCGCTGATAACTCGTGAAAGTTACACTAGCAAACACTCCTATTTGTCAGTGTGCAATAAAACCGCAAGTGGTGCTCTTTAATTGTGATTTGATTGCTAAGGTGCTCATTCTTCCAGCCTGACTTTCTTATTCTTGGATCATTTGGTGTTTTACTCTTCCCTCTCAGGACCTGTTCTTATCACACCCCTCTCTGCGTTTCTCCGGTCTGCTAAGAACACTCAACACCTTCCGAACCGAGCTACCTTTTCCACTCTGCGTTTGGGTTTCGTAGTTATCCACTAAAGAACGTTTTCGACTTATACATCCATTTGAAATCACTGTTGATCCTTGCAATCTGAATGGCTTTCATCGATGCGAGTCGTACACGAATGGCACCATTTTTTTGCTACAAATCGCACCTTTTTCCTACCTAATGAAAAACCTAAAACAGCAACTAATCAGTTTTCAAGGCTTGTTTAAAGTAACCAATCAAATAAGAGGAAAATGAAGGTTAACACTCGCAACTTTTTGAAAACCAGCTTAGTACTGGATCATAAAATTATTCGTACAGACAAGGAAATAATTGTATTTTAGCGCCTGAAATTTGCAATTTCAAAAATGGATGAAAGAAAGTGATAGTTGAACTTCGTGTTATGCGGTTTCAGTTGGTCTGAAATCATACTTGTGATTTCAAATTAAACTCGCGCTGTGCGCCCGTTCAATTTTGAAGTCACTCGTATCATTTTAGACCAAATAGCATTCCACTTCCGTCAATTACCATTATGGACCGCTTAGCCGGTCTGTGTTTCAGAATGATTCTATTTCAAATGATCGTGGGTTCCAGTTCACTGCACACTTTCCTGGAGACATCTTCGATTTTTGTTTTCAACGAGTGAAAATGCTATTTCTAAATAGTTCCTTGTTGGTGCCATAAACGCTGATTTAATTACTTTTTCACATATTTTTCTTTATTTGCGGTCGATCAGGCGGTTGCTAAATTTTGTTAGAAAGAGGAAAGGCTAATCTAGGTAATCAATTTCGCATTGAAAAGCTATACTGATAAGATCGTCACGAAAGTCATCTACACGACTTTTAGTTTCAGCTAAAAACAAATTGAATTTCTCCGTCATATTTGTAGATGGTTGACTGTCCGATATCTACAAGTCTAAAAAATCCTGTGTAACAAGATGTCAACTCAGTAAAACATCTTGCCAGCCTGAAACATAAGAATAAGTTCTTCTGTGGCTCTTCTCTCCCCTGGCGGAAGGAGAGAATCGTCTTGGGCGAGCTGTGGTTTTGCGTTGTCTGTTTGGTTTTGCGTCGTCACAGACAGGCACAGGACATCACTACAAATTCATCCATTTTCTTGAGAATGTAAGTGCTTTGCCCTGGTTCGCCGTTGAACAACAGGTCAATGGATCCTAATTCGCCTGGGACGCAGCAAGGTGAAGCTGGCGGGTTCGAGTCATGTTCACTTAAGAATAACTGTATCCGGGCGTGATTTGTTGTCTCTATGTTGACGTCAGCATTTTTGCATTTTCCTGCGCAGTAATACGCTGAGTACTTACTGGGGGCAATAACCCACTTATCCCACCCTAGGTCTTTAAAATGCACGCTCAGTTCGTGACGCCCACAAGGTCCTTTATGATTGGGGTGTAATGACCTGCGCATGCGCCTCGGTGGGTTAGCGATGGGTGTGAAATTGATGCCCAGTTTCGGGAAACTTTTCGACAGATCCGTGGTATGAATGAGAAGAAGCATTTCCAAACTAGAGTTTATTTCTTTTGTCGCAAATCTGATTAAAGGTGACATCGTTGTGTCGCTGATGTTCACTTTGATTCCAGTGTTTCGATCTGGCTTTTCATTCCATTCATTCATGACGTCCAATGGTAATGTAAAGTTTATCCAACCAACTGTCTCCATGGAGACAGTTTGAGATGACAACCGCTGTCCACTGTGAATGTCGAAGATGAAGACTGACGCTGTCGAGGTGAAATTTTCGTGGGGAAGTTTGAGAGGAAGTTTGTAAAGCTGAAGTTCAGCAAATGTCAGCACTTTCGTTCTTTGAAATGAAATATTGAATTTCAGATGCCTGTCGCTCTTGCCATCTGAGAAGATAAGAGAAACAAAACGACATATGCAACTTCCTCGAAGAGCAGTTGTAGACGTGATCAGTGGATTTTTATGTGGACTCCTTTTCGCATATAATATTTCATTATGTATAGATAATATCAAAGCGATGTCTAACCGTATAATAACCTATCCCCTCTTCCCCTCCCCCAAACCAGGCGGTATTTACGGAGGGATTGTTATCATGCCACTGCCAAATGATATGTCAGAATAATCAGAAGAATAACAGGCAGAATAAGCTAGCGTTTAGCTTTCCTTAAATTGGGACAAAACAGGGGATAAGACGTCTAGATTTTAATCAATTTTTAATAATTTTATTTCCTGCCACGTTCAATATCGTCAGGGCATCATACCTCAATTAACACGAAACCACTTGAGAAACAAAATGGTTTTTAATGCGTTTGTAGATTATTATTTCATAACAATACCATCAGGCATAATCGACGGAAATCAAATTGATAGTAATCAATACTTGTTCTGCCTTTTATTTCTGGTACGTTCTCTTGGTTTTAAGCTTTGGTTTGTCAGACGATCGAATTACCTACTCTGCTCCAACCTCTTTTGTGCGAAAAAAGTGCATTGCTTAGCCTCCAGAATTTAATTGCAAGTCTTAATGTCAAATTCAGCAGGCACAGACTACCTTGCGTCCCTCAGCTAACCGTGACTCGCGAGTTCGAGAACTGGTGTGAACAACTAACTTTTAAGACGGTTTCTTCCTCAGCAATGATCGGTTGGGAACCCTTTTTTCCCCCGCTTTCCAAGCAAGATTGGGAAAATTTTCACAAAGAAGTCGAAAGTGTTTCGCAAAGGACTTTGCAAACTTCATGAGTTCACAAGTTAGTTCATCTCTTAGCCACAGAGGACATCTACGGGCTAATTTTAGCATCAACCGAAGATCCAAACACGACATTGCGAAGAAGTGATGCTGTCACACCCAGATAAACTTATTTATGTGGTATTGAGTAAAAGTTAAAGAAAAATCATCAGAGACCCAGATGGTTCGATTGCATAGAGTTTAGGTACAAAATCATGCGAAAAAAAGGTTAGTAAAGAAAACAGATACAGTATCTACACACAAACCCAAAAAATTAACAAGCGAGAAAAAGGTTTGTCATACGAAATTGAAAGGAAAAAGTACATCGGACGATCTTAAAGATTATAAGGGAAAATGCACTTTTGAAATTAGCTTGAGTTGTGTTCCGCAATGATAGTAAAACGGATGAGGCTGGAAGACAGCCTGTGGAAACACTAAGGTAGCCGTTATCTGGGCAAGCATTTTACCCCACTACCCCGCTCAGTGAATCGGCAGGTGAAAAGAGACCAGACCACAACACGTTTTAACATTTGGAATCAAAAAAATTTCGCACCGGTTACAAATCAACTCACCAATATCTGTGAAACCAAGCATAGTGTTTCCTTGGATGGGACCAAACATCTTAAGGAGATGTAACATATAATCTGCTGAATTTTCTGCTGACGTTGTGACTGAGTCATTGCTCGGTGGCCTGTCCCGACTTTGCATTCCGAACAATGACTTGAACGATTCGTCAGAATCCATTGCAGTACTTCTTTGAAGACAAGAAGCGAACACTGCGAAGAGTATTAAAAGAATTTGGGGCGACATGATAGTATCCAGCGAATTTGTCTCCTCAATGTAGCCAGATAAGAATCGTGGTTTATATAGATGTTCATTTACTATCTCGTCAGCTAAAAAAAGCATCCTTTCCTTTGAGTGTAACCGATTGTTTTTTGTTTTGTCTTGGTCAAGTTTTGTGGGGGACTAACGGAAATGTGTTCACGATAAACTATCTATCTTATTAGATAGCGTCACTAGGAAAGTATCCCGTGATAAAATGCAGGCCTGAGGTTTAGAGAGAAAAAGATGCCTTTTATGAGGAGCTTCTTGGCTCAGTGAATCAATTTGGTTGAATTTGAAGAAGTTTGAGGATTATCGGAGCAACAATGGCTCTTTCTGTGGGTTTGGAAATGATATCGGTGTGCGTTAGCAGCGAAAATGCATAACCGCATACCAGGTTAAATTGTTCTTAATCATGTGTCATTGGAACTCTATTGGAACCTCTCATTTCGTCCGTTTCGGCGGACAATGAAGTAATACAGTGGCGCAGATAGGTTTCTGTTTAAGGTAGAAGTGGTGTTGTGAAGTTAGCGTTGTCAAGGGGAAGGGTGGGGGGAAGGGGGGGTGGGTTTACCCTCAACCTTGGTCGTCATTAAGAGAAATTCCGGATTATTTTCTGAAAAAGAGTGAGGAAGGGGGTTAAATACGCTTTAAAATCCCCCCTTCCCTCATCATCTAAGATTGCAACGTCGGTATTTGCACGAAACAGTAATTCTTTTATCTTCCTTTTAAGTGTTCTCCTGACACATTCCCCCTCGGAGTTTGGAACACTTAAAATTCATCAAACCTTTTTCGGAAAGCTAGCATTGTTTCCGTTGTACTGTCAAATCGTTATCGCAAGTAATTAAAGGTTATTGACCTAAGAGAGCCAACAAACTGCGGTAAAGAAACTTGTACAGACCCGTGTATGGTTCACAGATCGACGGCTTTCAACTTCATATCAAGAAAAGGATGAAAAATTTGTTTAGGGTGCAATTTTGATATTTCATTTTGTCATCCTTCACAGAATTTCACTTTGAAAAGATGGCTCAGTTTAATTAGCTTATCAAATCTTTGCGTGAGAGATCAATCTACACAGTCTAGGGCTAGATCTTGAATTATTTTTATTTTACCGTAATTCGACCCACATACCAAACAGCACGACCGTCAAAACTCTTTTTTATCTTTCAGACCAACGTAGATTCGTTAGTTCAGCGTTACGAGAGACTTACGACGACTTGAACGACGATGTTCTTAAAAAGAGGTGTTCAAAACCTCCCCGGAGTATTATACTCCACATCAGAGTTCAGCTCCTCAGCCGATTCTATTCCAATTTAAAAGGGAAAGGAACCTCTCTTGAACACCTTCAATTGAAAATTGGTAATTTTTTCAATAAACGCTACCAACGAAGGGGTGTTCGAGAATCCCCGTGGGAGCTTGATGAGAAGATCCATTCAGAATTCTTATCTTATCTTACCAGGAGAGAAAAATGAAAGCCTACTCTAGGAAAACGTACCACAATAAAAAAAAAAAGAAAAAGAAAAAAAGGCTGAATATTTTTGTGTGTTGCTTTCAAGACGATCAACCTTTTTTTTTTTAAAGAATTCCTCGGACTGGAGCAGAGACCCAACGCAGCGACGAATTGTTTTAAATTTGTGATCAATTTTTTTTTGGGGAGTCAAACCAGTCCTCCTCTGCGAGTAAAACAAGAATTCGCATTTCACGTGAATTACGTGAAATCACTTTCAATGTAGCGACGAAAATGAAAGGATATAGTCCACGACTAGACGAATATTAAACAAACAATCAATTTGATATAAAAATGATAATTCAAAAAAAAGACATTCATTTAATTCCTTCCGTGTTTTCAGACCCCCAGGTTAATTGTTTGTGTTTTTTCAAAATAATTTAAAAGCCTCTCTGGCTTCTCTGTGTATCTTTATAAAATAGGAAGGGGTTGGATGAAGCTGCGGCCAAAAGATAACCGAAGAAAGAACACTTCTCGATCCCATGGATCCTTGCATGCTTTCTGCGTTCTCCTAGAGGGATTCAGTCGAGGGCAATAAAAGGAACCCCCCTATTGGCAGCATTGTTGTTAGTATATAAATCCCTCGCCGCGAAGAAGAAGGTGGCTTTCCTGAAAGCCCAGCGTTAAGGAGAGACTGGACTTTCGTCAACAAGCGCTCGGAATGGCGACTTCAAATGTTGTAGTAAGTTTAGGGAACGAATTTAGTGCGTTTTTGTGATAGAAATTTGACCATTCCATTAAAGACCTTTTTTCTAACAGCCCAAAATATATAGTGGCGTGATCGAAGAAGTGATCAAGAATGTGCGAGACAGTTTCTTGAACGAAGGGGTCGATGAACAAGTCCTTCAAGAATTAAAACAGGTAAGAGAGCGGTTAATGAGGCAGAGTAAACAAGAAAAGACAAATCTTCAAATTATCGTCTTCCTGTTGATGTTAAACAACGACCCAGTAAACAGCGCCATGATTCTTTCTTCACGAGAGTCGTCCACGAATGTGCGAAAACCTGTGACGCGCATAAATATTGACGAAGGAAAGATTCATCTAAATTTTGCTCCTGTTCCACATTCTGTGAAACATTAAAAATGTTTCAAAGAGTTATAGGGAAAATTTCCATGAAATTGTGATTTTTGTGTTCTTTTATTTGCTCGGTGATTCATTCACAGACTCAGCTGGGCTTTTTCCAGCTTTCTTTCACCATATGATCAATTTAACTCCCAAAGTGTGAATTGACGAATGCGCTCGTGCAGAAAGAAGCCTTCATTTCTAATCAAGCTTCACGAAAATTTATAATCCCCATCCTTTACCAATCCGATTGTTTGTCACAGTATTTGTACCGTCATTTTGGACGCCATTGTTATTCGTGTAGAGCAAGAATTGTCGAGTACTGGCAAAGAAGGGATTAGAGTGATTAAGTACACAGACTGAGCAAAATGTGTCATAAGGCACTGGGTCAGAGTGGTTAGTTAATCGGGGAAGGGGTGACACAGTATTTCGTCTGTACTTACCCGAGTTAAAATTGGTTCTCAGACACTCTGGATGTTCTGTAATTTTAATGAGAGAAAACCCCAGGAAAATGCTGAAATGGCATTTCAGGTTATTGAAATTTAACCAATTTGAGGGAGAACATATCCCTAAATCCTTCCCTTGAAGCATGTTTTTTTTTTCTTTTTTTTTTTTTTTTTGCATTTGACAGTATTTGGTCATGCCTGATCACTAAATAGACTTCCTTCTACATTGAATTTTCTTATAACCCTTAGCCAAAAAAAATGTGAGATTTTGATTTTTTAGAACTGGTGGTACACTTTTGCCAGATGTCAAATGTGAGATGACTCCACAAGAAATGTAAACAAACTGATTGCCAAGATCTGTCTTGGAACAAATGGAAATTTTTTCCATATTTAAAAAATTCACTTGTCCAAGAGAGGAACCTTTAATTTTGATAACTTTACCATTTTTGTCAATGTCTAGGGAATTTGGGCTTGACAAGGGTAATAAATGAAGTCAGAATCTTGTCAATGTCTAGGAAATTTGGGCTTGATTAGGGTTATGAATGAAGTCAGAATCTTGAAAAAAATTAACACTTAAGTTAGATTTAGATATGAGATCTGCATTTTCACCAATTATTTGCTAAACTTGGATGGCTTGAATGCCAAGCTAACTGGCTTGCATAATAAATGATCCAAGATCACTGATTTGTATGATTTCACACTTTGAGTCAAACAGCCACTCTTTTATATACTGATGTAAATCAATTTGTCCTATTAGTAGAAGAGTACTTGTAGATTATTCAAATGAATAACAAAATCCATTATTTCAATTATGAACTGAAGAAGATAAACACCTTCAAAGCAAATAGAAAGGTCAATATTCAGATATTTTACATCAAATCTTGCTCTATACTAGTAACCTTTGTTGGGACCTCACTGTAATTTTATTGAAAAGAGAGAGATAGGATCCCTTTTCAAATACTGCATTTTCAACAATGAGTTAATGACTAACTTTCATTTCTTTAGATTTGGGAAAGTAAGCTCCTTCAGTCGAGAGCTGTAGATTGGATGCCAGCAGAGGGTCACCAGGTGACCAGACCACACCAGTACACTTACCCTCATGGTCCACCTATTAACCGGCAAGTTCAGGAACCTAGAGAAGGTATGATCATCATAGGTCTGACTATCAGGGGAAGGAAAATTTTTAGAGTGCATGTGACCTTACCTTCTACCCCTTTGAAAAAGGATCATTTGAAATGTCTCATGCATGTGAAGCTTATTTCAGGATGCATATCTATTATGAACATAGCAATGGGTTACATGTAGTTTGCCGAAGAGTTCTCTTTAAGGCAGTGGTAGAGCATAGCAAAGCTGAATCAGAAGCTGTGGGGTTCAATTCCTTGTGTTGTGTTTTGTCCACTCTCATGACCATATGATTAACCCTTTCACTCCAAACATCTTGTTAGTAATTCTCCCTACTGTCTGCTACACAAACCTTATGATGTTTGTTTGGAGAATTTGGTATTGGATCAAGTAATAATCCCCCTAATTGACCTTTTTCTTCATTATCATCTCTTGTCTGCAAAATATTGTTTTGATGTTGTTAGGAGAAATCCACCTTGGTCATTCATGGGAATTATAGGGATAACATCTTTTGTCTTGTCATTCCTGAGCTCACAGTAAATCCTTTTTCTTTTTCTTATGCCTATTTGTGGTGGAGACAAGACAAATGTGGGTGTCTTGTGCATGTGGATTCAAGGTTTTTCTCATTTTGTTGAATAACTACAATTTAAATAAACAGACCTCATTAATGGTTGTTTATAACTTTTGATTTTTATAGTAAATATTGCTCCTGCAGCTGTAACTGTACCTGAAGCTGCAACTCCCCAGCAAGCAGCCAGTGGACACACAGCTATATTGTACCCATCAACTCATGCTCATGCACTTAGTCAAATGGTATGAGAAGCAGTGTTTGTTGAATGTGCAATGGATTTTTTAAGTATATATGATCATTATATATATAATTATATTTTTTTTTCAAAGAACAAAGCTATTACACTGCTGCAGATGTGATCAATAAATGCGAGTTGTCATCAATTTTTTCTAAGTTTTCACCGATCCTCTGCTTCATCAGAGTGGTGATGCTCATGGGGACTCAGAATTTTTTTTTTGTCTTATACTGGTGATAAGAGGAAAAACACCTTTCCCCTCCTCTTCATCTATTCCTGTTGCGAAAGAGGTTAGTTTCCATTGTGATAAATGAAAGAGAGCACCTCTCCATATTTTTTGTGTTTTTGCCTCTTACAAAAATGTACAGGTATTTAGGTGATTTCTGTTATACATGCCTTGGTTATAAGTCAGGTTAATATCATTGTTTACTTTAGACAGCTGCAGCTTCAGCAGCAACAATGGCCATTCCTGAAAACCTGTCCCAAATTCAGCAAGGTAGTACATATGGTGAGCTTGTTGGACACATTATTATAATTATTATTATTATTATTACTATTAGTATTGATTTTGCTAATGGTAATGAAACAACATATGTACATGTACAATACATTCTGTGCAATGTACACAGTGTAGTCATGGGGTCATGGAAAATTATGAAAGGCGTGGAATTGTACAATAACATTGTCCTGCTCAGAGGTTCATGGAATTTGTGCTTGGGTTATTTGAACTCTTTGAAAATGAAAGAAATATGATATTTTCTAGAAAAACTTTAGGAAAATTGTCGTCATTACTTAATCATTTTCATCTGACTTTGGGCATAACATCTGCATCTTACAACCTGTAGGGTCATTGATAGTCACTGAATATTATTTTATAATTTTGAAATAGTACAAAACTTTTAAAATGTGTTTAGTTGTAGACCACATTTTTTTATTCTTTATTTTATTTGTACTTCAAACAGTATATCCCACCGTGAGGACAATACACTCAACACCACAAGTTGGAAACCTTCAACAGCAAGTTATAAATGCTACACAACCTCGCACAATTACTGGAACTCAACAAGTCATTCATGCACAACCCCAAACTGCAATTGTCCATGGCGCTCAGACATCTGCAGCCAGAGTCCCACAGCAGGTTATCCAAATGGCTCAGTTACCGACAGGAAATAAACATGTTAGTAGAGAGCTACTGTTATTAGTAAAACCTTTAAGAGGCACAACCTTGTTAGGGTGACTCCTTGGAGGGGGGTGGGGGTGGTTGTGTAGTCTAGTTTCAGGGAGGATTGCAAGAGCATTGCCTTGTGCATGTACATTTGCTCATTTTTCTTTACTGCTTTACTTCCCTCCACCCCCTCCTTCAACTTTTTATTGTATTTGTACTGAGGTTGGCAGTGGGTCCATTGTGAAGGTGACCTCCTTGTTGCCAGGAAGATTGCTGCTCTTCTCTGTCACTACCTTAGTGGCCCATACCTTCCAATACTATAAATGAAGCATTTTAACTTGTATGTCCCTATACAACAAACCCTATGAACCCTCTCACCCATAAGATCAAAATTTTAAGTTCTCTGCACTTTCTGTCATACATTTCTTTTAATTTTTGCTTTGAGAATTGCTAAATCAAACAATATCCTTAAGTTGATATTTTTGTCTCTTCTCAACTTATTTCTGCTGAAAATGTATTGATACTTGAAAGAAAAATTTTCCTCTGGGACTAAAAGGGTTAGATTTCCCCTTAACCTCACTGTGCACAAACACACGTATACCTATAGACAAAACTTATGGATTACTCTACCATTTGCAGTTTTATACAAAAAATTAACAAACACTTAAAAAAATAGAGGAAGATACTTATCATCTTGTCACGAGCGTAGAGCAATAAAAACCTCTGAGTTCCCAGAGTCTTTGTGGCTCAGTGGTAGAGCATTGGAGCGTGGAATCCGAAGATCTGAGGTTCGATTCCTTGTGAGGAGTCGGAATTTTTTTCTTTGTCCCACGCTCGTGAAAAGACGATAAAAATCTTTGCCTATATCTCTACCGAGCTCAAAACTTACCATCTCTCTTAGTCTATTTAAACCAAACAAAATTATTTCATCTCTTTTTTTTAATCCTTTTCTTTTCTACAATGAATTTGTTTGAAAAATATATTTGATATCTGCTTTTCAGCCTTCAGGGGTACCAGTCATTCAAGTTGATGGGGCTAATGATAGTGACAGTGATGATGATGACGACGATGATGATGATGACGACGACGAAGACAAAAAAGACAAATCTCAAGATGGAGGAGAAGAAGGAGCTGAATTAGAAGTTTGTACAGTTTATTAGGGATTATACATGTATAAATTTCCAGTGCAGTCGGTTGTAATCCAATTGTGTGGGGCTAGTTAGTGTCTGTGTATGTGCGCTAGGTGCACCTGCTAGGCAAGTGAGAGGTTTAAACGGACATGTAAGTGTATTAGTGCTACGGAAACAGGGTTGACCGACATTTATTTAAACCGTTAGTCCCTAAGAGTGGCTAGCATCCAATTTCTCCTCACTCTACTTCCATTGAATCCAACAATAAGGTCATAAGAACAAATGAAGTTCTTGATTGTTTAATAAATGATCCTACATGTTTTAGTACAGTGTGGAGAACACAGTGGAGACTGTGGATACTGATGTTGAGGCGTGAAGTGTTAGTTGGTCTTGTAACGTTTTTATGACCATTCAAAGTGTTTTTGGTGTGCGGTAAACTTGTTAATTTGACAGAGTTTCTATTACCTAACATGTTCTACATCACACACACTGGAGACTGATGTAGTGGTATCGTGGGTGATTCTATTAGCATCTGCTTCAAGTTATATTCAGAGTCTCTCTTTTAGGCTTTAATGCAAGACAACAACCTGTAACCCTAACAATCTCTCTTCACCTAAAACTACGAGCTGGATCAGTTCATTGACTAGAAAACATGTACACATAGCCGCTCGTTTGGTATTAGCCAGCGAGAGGGTCCATATTAATGGCACTGCAGGACGCGCGGTTCCCCGCCCGCGGGAAAATTCGAGACAAGTCAGGGAGAGGTTTGCTGAGGGTTTTGCTTCAACATTAGTGCTAGACCCCCCTGCAGACCTCTGGCTGACTCGCTTTGCTCAAGACGTGTTACTTTCTCGCAGGCGAGAAAACGCTCGCGCGGAAGCACTTCTTCCAAAGGCCTGGGCCTAGGAGAAGTTAGTATGGAAGGTTATGATAAACGCACTAATAAATGTTCTCGCGTTGGAATCTGCCGTTGTATTTATCACGTAATTCTGCTTCTCTCTTTTCACTGGAGCAATTTTGAAAGTCAAGCAAAATACTTAGCGATTACTTCTTTTAGTATTTTGCGGAAATAATTTTTATTCTTAATGTGAAATCTTTAAATTTTAGGACGAGGATCCTCTTAATTCAGATGATGACGTGTCTGATGATGATCCTACGGACTTGTTTGACACAGATAACGTTGTCGTGTGTCAGTTTGATAAGGCAAGTGCGTGTTCACTAACAGTCTAGTCTGCAATACTGATAATTTTATTTCGTGAGTGTTCCCTGTCCGAGATACCACGAGCTTTCTCTCTGGGATATGCGGTTTAGTCTAGACTCTGTCTTTTCTAGGACAGCGTCCGCTTAACAGGCTGTATTCTTGTAAACATCACTCTTTGGTTCTGATCCGATTCCTTCACGGGAAAGAGAAACCCTCCAAAAATTTCCCTCGCTCTCAACGCAGGCTTCGTAGCTCAGTTGGTAGTAACCACCCAAATAGTATCAGGGAGGGACAGGTTCGAATCTCGTCGAGGCCGAATTTTTCCAGGTTACTTTCCTATAATTGCTGAAACTGCAGTCCAGCTGCAAGGGTCATTTCTTTGCTTGACTTTATGATTCCTTACTTTTAGATTGCGCGCTCGCGAAACAAGTGGAAGTTCCACCTGAAAGACGGAATTATGAATCTGAAAGGAAAGGACTACGTGTTCCAAAAGGCAAATGGTGAAGCAGAATGGTAGCCTATATGATGGGCGTTAGTTATCATTAATTGTTAAAAAAGATCAAAAGTGTAAAAATAGAAGAGGAAAATTTTTAAGAGATTCCAATAACATGAAAACTCGTTCAATCATTTCTGTTCCATTTGACATCTGAATTGATGGCTCGTTTACATTGTCGTCTGAACGTGTGTGAGTGGAAATTATGCAAACATTATGAATTTGTGTTTTGTTCATGTTCTTGTACACTTAGTCTACACTACTCAATTGTTAAAGGACGCCTGCTGCTTAAGATCTCCGTGCTGTTTGGATTTTCGCAGCAAACAAAAGTAAAAGCTTATTCTTAAGAGGAGAATCGTTATTTGTAAAAATTGTAACGTCATCATATCGATATCTTTGAGACAGCGAGAAAAATCACCGCCATTGTGAAAGAAACTATCAAATATTGATTCGGTGAGAAAGAAAAACACCTGCATGGAAAAGAAAATAGTCCAAAAAGAAACGAGAAAGTTAAGGATGGAGACGATTTACTTGGACTGTGGATGACGACTTTGACAAACTTGGGCTTGAGCGAGTGAGAGGTCACAGGAAGAGAAAGAGCCTGTGAAGGAGGATGGAGGAATTTAGGATACTAGAGACTAGTTTTAAAATGTCCCTAACCATGATTTAAAGTCATCGTTATAAAAAAGATATGTCTATAGATATGTGTAGTTAAACAAAAATAAATGATGAATAATAGAGGCCATCGTTTCATTCGGGGAAGGTAACTTGGAGAATTAATTTCAGTTAATACGCTGCATCCTCCGGAGCTAGCGACTTGTCTCTGAAGTGCTAATGATTAGTTCACACGTGGTGTTCCTCCTCTCTCAGGATTCAAGAGGGAGGGCTTTCTTTGACTCAATTAAAATGCGTGAAATCCCTCGAGCAGATTGGCAGAATCGGCTAAGAGAGATCCAGCCTGGTTGCGTAAGTGCGAATATCGAACTTGTTTGTGAAGATGGAGGAATTAGCCCTTTTCTGCCGTCAGGCCGATTTTAGCGACCGGAGG